TTGCTGAAAAAGCCATGTCTTGAGGGCGCGGCGGAAGGTTAGGAGATCCGGAATGTCCGGATCTCGGGGGGTAGCTCGTTCCAGAGGGTGGGGGCACCCACAGAGAAGGCCCTCCCCCTGGGGGTCGCCAGCCGACATTGCTTGGCCGACGGCACCCTGAGGAGGCCCGCTCTGTGGGAGCGTACCGGTCTGTGGGAGGGAGTCTGTTTAGCTGACTAGCTAAACTACATTACCCATAAGCCAACTCTTAAGGAGACAGCACTTAACCCAATAAATGCCAGATATTCTAACATACAGACCTATGTGGTCCAGAACACAAACTTCTTAATATTCCTCACCCTATCTGTAATTCCTTAGCTGCCACATTGGGATTTGGTCCCCAGCTGAATATAGAAGAGCACTGTATAGTAAGAAATTTAAGGGATTTTATCTTTATCCAATTATCAATAAATCTTTGTGATCTAAATTCTAAATTATTATTTTGCCCATGGCAATATGGGCTAAGATGGTGCTATCATCTTCATGAAAATAGACTTTCAATAGCAAAGCAAGCCAACAAAGAATAACAAAGGATCTGTTCTTTTCCTGTACTTATCCCTTACATTTGGTAGGTTCCTTAATATTGTATAATTACTTAAAGGTTGCTCATTGCAATTTGTGCCAGTCCAAATATGTCTACATAGTCACCCTAGAAGGCTTGTTCCTTCCATAGTCCATTCTGCAATTAGCACCTTATTGATTAAATCAAGATTGTCTGAATTCTCTTAGTTCTGGTTTAGTTATTCTCATGTTTTCCCTGATCTGTTGTCTTCCAAACATGGTTTGATATATTTAGAAGGCAGTAAGTCAAGAAAAACTAAGAATTACTGAAATTCTATGCCAACATAGCTTTGGGCTCCAAGACTTCTAATTCAATATATCTGGAGAACACCGGTTTGCAGAAATCCAAAGCAATCTTTCTCTTAACTCGCTTTTTGAATTTTGTTAGCATTTTTTTCATGGTTTGATTCCATCGTGTTTCTGCTCTGTTCGCTGGACTTCTTAAGGCAACGTTTGAAGATTTTTCTTCTTAGGGAAATGACTTCATTTACATGCAAATAGACTCTCAAAGTTAAAATATCGCCTTCTCATACATCTCATATTACGTTCAGTGCCAATCTACATAATATGAAGGACGGGTTTTCAGATGCAAACTATGGATTGTCCTATACAATTTGGACTCATGCCACACTTCTGCCAATTGTAGCCATGTAATCATGGTTCATTGATGTCAGTTATGTTTATACCAAATAACAGTATGTTTTCATTTAGGAAGGCATGATATAGCGCTGCAGCACAAGCTGTATGTATTCAGAAGTTTCTACGGTTTGGACTATAAGCAGTGGTGGAATTCAAATATGTGAACTACCGGTTCTCTGCGTGGATGCTGCTTCCGGAAGTCCATTCTGGGCCTGGGCAACAAAAAATTAGCTATCGGTTCTGGTGAAGTGGTGCAAACCGGCTGAATCCCACCACTGACTATGAGTATCTGAACCTGGAATCCATGTGTTCTCCTGGGACAAGAAAAACTCTTGGAAGCAACCATTATTGAACTCAACAGTCCAATGACTTAACTAGCTATAAAGCAGTTTCATCTGTTCCTGGAAATTCTGTTTTGAGCTGTGCCAAAAATTATCTCTGGTTGTAGAGAATGCAGAATAACAGAGCTGGAAGGACACTTGGAGGTCTTCTTTTAAAAAAACCCTGTAAAAAACATGTATGTAATAGTTCTTTTTTGCTAAGCAATAAAAGAAACTTAACTCAGTGCTGTAAAATGTGTGGATCCGAAAGTTCCTAATAGCTGAAAAGCAGTTAGCAAGTGATTAGGAAAGGAAGCATACAAACCTAGTGTCCTTTCGAAGGCACCGATCACGGTTTCCACAAAATGGCTATTCCCTCATGTCCCAGAACTCTAAATTCACTGGAGACCATCGCCTTGCAATCTCCTCATGAGGAGCAATTGTGTGGAGTGCTCGTGGGCAATCTCAAGTCATCTCCTTGTCCAGAGAGGGATTACAAAAAAACTTTGATGTCAGAACCCATTTATTAACAAGGGGACTCTTTTCTATTTCTGCTTCTTCCATCACTTGGGGTTCTGACATACTCCTGAAGGGGAGGGGGGGAAAGATGCTGCAGGCTGTCTCTCTGCTTCTCTCTATCGCTACAATGTATCCCTTCCACTGCATATTCACTCTTTGAACTATCTCTCCCTTGATGTTACCTTGGGGTGAGAAAGGAATGTGCCTCCGGCCATCTGGCTTATCTCCTATCTCGGAAGGAAAGGCGCAAAGACCTAACAACCTTGCTGCGAGCCTGGGAAAGACCGATGTTATCAGTTCCTTTCCGACAACGGACTGAACACCTGAGGATTGGCCCATTCGAACTGACCAGATGAACTATTGGGGTGGGGTTTGCTTGAGACTCTTTTAAACCTATTGATCTGAGTGGGAAACCCTCAGATCCTGCTTATTATGCCAACTATCAGCTTCCCCTAATAAAAGTTCCTTTTGGAGGAAACTGCTTCCACGAGTACTGCTTTCTTAGGATGAGGTTTTGAAGTGGGCCCTGACAGTTCTACTCTCTGGCTCTTCATTTTGCCACAGTCCTCATCTTTGCTTTTAGATTAATATTTTGGTATAGGAAGAAACATATAAGGAGAGTAGGAGAGATGAGATAAGAAAGAATCGTCTTAAAACTCAAAATATCAAGCAATTAATATCTGGGGAGGGATAAGACTTACAGATGAACCATCTTGTTGATGGTGGTGGTGGTGGTGGTGGTGGTGGTGGTGGTGGTGGTGGTGGTGGTGATGATGATGATGATGATGATGATGATACTATCCATTCAGTCATATCCTACTGTTAGCTATTTTGTGGGCCAGGTCTCACCACATCTTCTGATCTTGCACTACTTCTTTGAGTTTTTCTATGCTCTGGCTGGTGTCAACTTTGATGATGTCCAGCCACTGTGTTCTTTGATGCCCTGGTTTCCTTTTTCTGCTAACTTTTACAAACATAATTGCTTTCTCCAGTGAATTCCCTTGCATGACATGGCCAAAGTAAGCGAGACAACCCTTTCTGTAGTGCCTGAATATCAGTTCTTCATATTGCAAAGCCATCCAGAAGAACATGGCACATCAACCACAGCTACAAAACCTCTAGTTCATGTTAAGACAAGTGATCCAAGGCAAGATGGGGTACTCTGGTTTGGATGGCACAGCCATGTTCAGAAGTGTTATGTTTCTGCTTACTATAGAAAAAAAGTGGGATGAGAACCTTTGATTGGCTTCTGGAGAAAGATGCGAAGAGTTTGACTGCCTGGAGTCCTGCCTGGTGCAGTGACAAAGGTTCTCATGAAACAAAGTAGTTCATTGTGACTTTCATCCATCTCTTCCATTTTAGGGATTTTGTGAAAGCCTTTATTCAGTTTAAGAAGCCCATTGTGGTTGCCATCAATGGTCCTGCTCTAGGCTTGGGAGCTTCAATTTTACCACTCTGTGACATTGTTTGGGCAAGTGAAAAGGCCTGGTTCCAAACGCCCTACGCAACCATTCGGCTCACTCCGGCGGGCTGTTCATCGTACACATTTCCACAGATATTGGGTGTTGCACTGGTAAGATTTCCTTCTTTCAGATTTCTGTGGTCCCCTTTCAGTTAAACAACTTGAAAGGCGCTGTCCTACATTGTGGTTTTCTACTCCACACCTACTGGATGAATATTGGACCAAAGAAATGAACGTCTCTTCTCTTCGTAGCAGATCTTTTCCCGGGCATTTGGTTTCCTTCCCCACTGGATTTCTGATTTGTATGTGCAAAGCAAATATTCATGGCTGAAAGTTGTTTGCTCCCGAAGAGCAGCTGAATCAGTTGCTTGCAAATATAACTATTGAAGTATCTTGAAGCCTGTTTCGTGGTCAAGAGGCAATTTTCTATCTAAAGCTCCCATTTCTAAGTAGCTCTCCGGTCCAAATCGGGTTTAAAAATCTAATAAGAATGGAAAAGAAAGATCTTTGGTTAACCCATCTACAGTCCCCACTAGACCACGGACAAAAGAAATTCAGAGTGTTTCATTTGATTCATTTTTACCAGTGTAGTGTGAGGCCTTATTTTTCTATTTATCCTATAGCTGCATCTACCTCTAAATAGGCCCCTACCTGTTTTGTGCTAATCCTTATTCGCTGTCACCTTGCGTTTTGTGTTTGCTCTTTGTGGAGGAGAAGAATCAACTTGTCCTGTTCAAATACATTTTCTCCTTACAGGCCAATGAGATGCTGTTTTGTGGAAGGAAGCTGACGGCGCAAGAGGCCTGCAGCAGAGGGCTTGTCTCCCAAGTCTTTTGGCCCACCACATTTGGACAGGAAGTGATGTTGAGGGTAAAAGAAATGGCGTCCTGCAGTGCCGTGGTAAGAAGAATATGAGATTTCATGGAGAACTTTGAAGAATTTGTTTGTTTGCCACCCATCTTACCTCAGGGTAATTTCTTAATGCCCCGTTTCCCACCTCAGCTCTTTCAGAAACTCATTCAGAAGGGTCTTGAGGCAAAGCACTCCTTCTCTTGGCTTTTATTTGCTTTTTTTTATTAAATGTATAGGTGGCCTAACTCCATCCCAACTAGTGTAAAGTGTAAAACGTGAGGTAATTAAAAATGGAATTCGGAGACTTTCCAAAGCAAATCAGATTTTTAATTAAATGTATTATAGATTATATCTCCTTCCAAAATGGGTTTTTTTTTGGGGGGGGGGGGTGAGACACAATAAAACATATATTACAAAAGTATTGTATGCATGTCTTGGGTGAGCCAATAATGCTCTTGATCTGATGAGAACCCTAGACAGGTCCTATGTTCAGGTCTTAGGTTCTCCTCCACCTTCATTTCAGCTTAGGTTTTTTTTTTTATAACATGCAGCATTCAAATTTTCTAGGGCAAGAAAGTCGTAAAAGAATAGAGGAAAAATCGCCAGTGAAGCTAAGAATGCTTCTTACTTACCAAAACCCTTTTTTTAAAAAAAAAAAAAAAGTTAATTATATCTTTTTGTTGTCCTATGATAATAACACAAAGCAGCTTTCAATTGTTAAATTAAGATCCAGCAGAACTATAAAAAAAAATGCAAACAAGGCATCTGTTGGAATAGTAAAAACAATAAGAATATAAAACAATTACAAGGCTGGAAGGATGAAACTTCCAACAAAAATAAAATTACTGTATGTGATTTATGGAAGAATAGCAAAAGTGAGCACTGTATAAACTCAAGATTTCCTACCTTTCGGTTCAGCCTTGTAAACTACTTTATTACTGTATAATATAAAGCTGTTCAGAGTCACCTGGTTAAGTTGGGTGACTATAGAAATTAAATGAATGAATAAATGAATGAATCAATCAATCAATCTCAAAGGAAAGAAGTGTTCATGGGAGAGTCAAAAATATCAAGATGGAGACCAAAGAATGTCTCCAATGAAGCCAAGATCCCAATAGGTCTCCTCACTCTAAACTTTTTTTCCCTCTAGAAAACACTCATTCATTCATTCATTCATTCACTGAATTTATTTGCTGCCAATCTCATAGTAAATGACTCTGGATGGCTTGGATGACAGGGCCATCCTCCTAAAAGGATGAATACATTAATTCATAATTAATAAGTTAATGGGATTGTAATTGCTTTCCCTTAGGTTTTAGAAGAATCGAAATGCCTGGTTCGAGGTTTTCTAAAATCTGGCCTTGAAGATGTGAATGAGAAAGAATGTCAGATGTTAAAGCAGCTCTGGAGCTCTTCCAAAGGACTAGATTCGTTGTTCAGCTATCTCCAAGACAAGATCTATGAAGTTTGACATTGTTGGAGGGGGGGGGGGGAAAAGGGAGAAGAATGTCCTGGGATCAAAGTGATTTCAGATGTCTCCGGGTTTGAGAAGAATCACACGAAAGCCAAAATGAAATACCAGCAAATCCTCCCAGAGGCTTTTGTGAAAGCATATCTAACATCTCCGAGGTTGCATCAATTTCCTTGCTGAATTCAACGACTCTTCTTAGCAAGGTTGATTTTTCTTTGTGGAAGGAAAGGCAGATGTATTGACCCCAGCCTTTGGCAAGAATTGCATTTGAACACCCACGTGGCTGGAGAGAAACATACATTCCATGTGCCAGAAGCACTATCGGTAAACCCTTTAAGGCACACCACAAATCTTACTTCTTTGGTCTTCTTCTTCTTTTAATTATTATTAATTAACTTATTCCCGTTATTGTAAGCAGCTTGTCACGGCATCAGTCCAAATGACTCAGTTTAGAATTCAACGGTCCTAAATCATAATTGTCTGCCTGGCCTACTTTAAGAAGATGTCCATATTTTTGGTTTGTTCGACCACTAACAATAGAAGATACGGTATGTGGGGGATATAATTTATAATGGCTGATGAATATAAAAAAACAATTTTGCAAAAAAAAAGAAAAACTTTCAAAATATCCTACTTGGATTGGATCGCTTTCCTCCTTTTGGTTGAATTTATTTAATTAATTTATTTGCGTTTGTGTATCTCTGTGAGTATGGATATGGATATGGATTTGGGCATGGGCATGGATATGGATGGAGATATATATATATCCATCTATTCATCCATATCCATATCTATGCGCTTCTCATAGTACTTAACCTAGACCGGATAGGTTTTGCACATGTGAACAATCTCCCTGATTGTCTTTAAAAAGATTGTGCTACGCCAACAAAGACAAAAGGCAGTGAATCACATAATGCCACGGACTGTTGAGGCATTTAAAAGAAAAGGGAAGAATTCCATCTGCGATTCATATTCACAAATTGTCTTCCAAGATGGACAATGTATTTGAATCGTCCTTAAAGAAGAACGGTGGAGTGCCGAAACTGTGAGTGTAACACAACCCCTCTTGAGAACTTGAGGAATAGGGCAGGGTGTACCATTTTTTTAAATATATATATATAAGAAATGTTTACTATTTTTTCTAATCAGTCGAACGGTAATAACCCAGTTACACCGACCTAGGATAGTAACAAAGAACGAAGGATTCCTGCTGGCCTAGAGGCTACTCCCACCTCTAAGAAGTGAAATAAAACTCTTAGAGCTGCCATTGAAATGCTGCTATTAGAGGTTCTGGAATTCCTTTTATTGTCCAGCAATTGATAGCTCTTGCTTTCCATTAGAAAAATGCAAAAAGGCAGAGCTTTCCTTTGGCTCATTCTGTACTCCTTTGCTCTTAGAATCTGACCCCAATACTTTCTGGAAGCACTGGAGAGATTTGTCTGTAATTGCATCGATTTAACACCTTACGCCGTCGGTGAAAACCCTAGAGAAGTAATGGAAGGACTGTGTTCTTTTTAAGTTGGCAAGGCCCAATCAAGGTGCATTAAAAGGACAACATAGACACATATGGAGCTGCTTGATGAGAAGGCTACAAAAATTGCAGAGAAATAAAAGGGGGGAACGGAGAGTTAAATATCTCTAGGCTTAAGTCTGTTTCATGAATTCTGACTTCCGTGAGTTTTCTAACCTTTTGGGGTTTTTTTTTTTTCATTTTCTCCTGGTTTTTTTTTTCTCTGCAATTTTTTTTCCTTTTAAGTTCAATTTCTTATTAGGTGTTCGAGCTTCTAAATGGGATGTTGAATTTAAGAGAAGAGAAGCTAATATCTGCAGCTCAGGGTAGAACTGTGGAATCCTTAGTATTCTCTGAGTTTGGTTATTTTCTTGCGACTAGGTAACATCATCAGCATTGTTGATGTGATATTGAATTCGTGGAGATGGGAGAGGATTTCTTTCGTTGATTTTTTTAAAAAAATGCATTTATTTAGCAAAAGTTCCTCCTGGCAGGAAATCTCTGAAAATTTCTCACAAATCAGCGCCAAGTTTGGCTTCAAGCATCAAACCATGTTCTTACCAGAATGCATTGAACATATAAACCAAGATTTTCAGGGAAGGAGAAATGGAGAATTCTTCTCTTATTCTCTGCTATGGATGGCAAAGAATCTCAATAAATTCATAAATGCTTTGTTTCTGGAGTCCAACCGTTCTGGACTCGGGGATCAAATCCCTGAAGTATATAATATCAAGCAAAGGAAAATCATGGGAACGAAATATATAGCAACACATTCATTTATTGAAATAATCCTTATCGAAATGTGGTCCAGTCCTTCTTCCAGAAATGCGTTGTTATGAATTAGCAGGAAAATGTTCCCACGCTGGAACTTGCTTTGAATGGATAGAATTCTTGGAATCCTAAACTTCTGGATTTCCAAGCAGACCTGATTCTAAAACGTTACTTTTTTTTCACAGCTTTTTCAACATATTCTTATTTTTACATTTTCCTGGCCAATGAGTAGCTGAAAGAGGCCAAACATAATTCCTTCATAAAACAAAAATCAAATTCTAAATCTTACTTTTGTAACAACAAAAAAATACATCGGTATGATTATTCTAATTTCAGGGTTTTTTTAAAAAAAAAACTTTATGGTCAGTAATTATTTTAAAGAGGTTTTATTTAAAAAAAGCTTCTTCGTCTAGTTTTATCTTTCCAGTATCACTTGAGTATTTAGTTATATAGGTGTGCTGTATATACTGGGTTGAATATCTTTATTAATATCCACAGTATTTAATAAAATGCAAATATTTGCTGTTAAGTATGTCATATGATTTCATGTAAATGGTTTTGTACAAATCTTTAAAAGATTCCCCAGTTTTTGCATTTGTAGATATGGAAAGGTAAGCAATTCAATTTTTTTCTGTTTGTCTTGCATGTGTGTGCGTATGTATGTATGTATGTACGTATGCGTGTGTGTATGTATGTATGTATATACATATATATATATGTATTGCTGTACATAAAATGTGTTAGTTGGTGCCCTTCTGTTTCAACAAATAAGCTTGCTGATTTTAATACAGTATATATTTTCAAATATATATATATATATACATATAAACTTTTTATATTTCTGTGGTAGATTAGGGTAAGCGTTCTAGGCAATCTTTTCACACGATGGTTGACTCGTCTTTTAATTCTCTAGTATTCTGGGATTGATGCCAATTGTGGTTTTTTTTCCACTTAAAATAATACACAGTTTTACTGTTATTAATATATGCAGGCAGATTTTTTTTTGTTTCCTCCCTTCCTTTCTTCCAGCCTTGAAATAAATGAATTTGTAGATTTGCTGCATTTGTGAATAAGCCTTACCATTAGTTTGAAACAAAGATTGTGAGCTGCATAAGGAAAATGAAGAGTCAGCTCTCTGGGATGGCAGAATAGCAAGGATGATAGCATCCTTTTATAATGTGTGTATTCCAGGAGTTGTAGGCCCAACACATCTGGAGGACATGGGGTTGCAGAAGGCGGGCTTAGAACAGCTGATCCTGCCTTACAGACATGAAATAAATGGGGGCAATTCATATTGAAACTTTCCCAACCCCAAAACTGACCTCTCTTTCCAAGAATAATTTCTCTGCACTTCAAGTATGGATTTCAACCAACCTGTAGAACAGGGGAACCCAACCTTGGCAACTTTAAGACCTGTGGACTTCAACTCCCGGAATTCTGGAAGTTGAAGTCCACAGGTCTTAAAGTTGCCAAAGTTGGGGACCCCTGCTGTAGAAGACTTGAAGAGTGGTGGTTTGAGGGAAGGAAACCACGTTCAATGGATTTCACCCCCATTCTTTTGATGAATTTTAAGAAAACCCCTTGCCTCTAACAGCTGCATTCCGACAGTTGACAAATGTAGAATGCAGGGCCGTAATGTTTTTCTAGTGAAATGGAGAATACGGGTTGTTTTAGTTGTGTGTATGTGTGTTCGTTTCAGACATAGGTAGGCTCTTTAGCATGGGCTTTGTTGTGTAGTCAGGGATGGAAGCTTCTAGCCCATGGGTCTAATCCAGGGGTCTTCAAACTTGGCCCTTTTATGACGTGTGGACTTCAACTCCCAGAATTCCTCAGCCAGGCACGCTGGCTGAGGAATTCTGGGAGTTGAAGTCCACAAGTCGCAAAAGGGCCAAGTTTGAAGACCCCTGGTCCAATCTGACCAACTCTAATCTAAGCATCCTTAATCTGCTCAGGTTCTTTATGTGGCTCAATCTATAAAAGTCAAAACTGGTTGAAGCCAACCCTCTTTGGGAGACCCTAAAGTTTACATAAGAGATGTAGAGACAATCTGAACTGTGCATTGAAATGCTCCACATCGTGGGTGGATGTATCTCTGTTCACCCTCTTTAACAATATGTTTTGAAGCCGTTCTTAATACCTTTGTCAATACTTTCAAACAGGATTTTGGCTTCTAGACAATAATATATTGTATGTAAATACATAGGCTTCCATTAAAAACAATAAGGACCAAAGAATTCCATTTTTTTTTTCAATCATGCCTTTGGTTGTCACATCCCTTTCGACTTGCATTTTGTATCATCTTTAATTCATTTTAGGGAAAGAAAAAAGGGCAAGGTAGCCAGGGGAAGTGTATCTGCTGGAAGAAAGAAAAAAAAAAGGAAAATGAAAAATAGTTATAGGTAAGGAGGTGTCTATTGGTAAGGCTTATTACCAAACTAAATAAAGATAAAGCAGGTAACCAAAAAAGAGAGAGAAAAGAATTAAAGTATAGATATTTTTTTTTTCAGATACGGCCCATAAATTATTTTGTTGTCTGAATGCCATGTTTCCAATATTTGTGAAGATGAAGACTGCACAGTATGACCAATATGAGGGTATGGGGCACCCCTTAACCACAGTGTTGTAAATATTTCAGAAATTAGTTCAGTACCGAGGGATGCATATCTTCTGATATATCTGGTATCGTGACTGTGATCTAGTTTAACATGTGTTAAATAAACAGGTACCAGGACATTTGATCACATACTTGTGTAAAAAGACCCACGGAATCTTCAACATAAAAAGTACCACACAATTATACGTCATAAATATGTAACACTCTTCGACGAAACTTATTTTTGTAAGTTTGAAGGGAAACCACCGAGTTACCCCGACACCGTTAGACAGAGTTCCTGGAGTGACTTTTTTTTGGCATTAGAATGCTTCCAGAACTGTTACCAGATTTCAGTAGCTTGATTGATTGATTGATTGATTGATTGATTGATTGATTGATGATGATGATGATATCCATTCAGCCGTATGCGACTCTTGGAGATTCTAGGTCTCTCCACATTTTCCAGTCTTGTGCTACTTCTATGTTCTGGCTGGGGTGTCAGTTTTGATGGTGTCCAGCTAGCTTAAAACTTAATTCCATTTCTTTGGTTTTGGTTTACTGATGAGGCAAAGGTGGCCTGTCAACAATCCATGGTTAAGCTAACCATAGATTATAAGGACTCTCTATACCTATCAATGATCAGATCAGTACATTCTTCCTATTTCCAAAGCGCCTGAAGGCAGGACAAGGAGCAACGGGTGGAAGCTAACCAAAGAGAGAAGCAACCTAGAACTAAGGAGAAACTTCCTGACGGTTAGAACAATTAATCAGTGGAACAACCTGCCTCCAGAAGCGGTGAATGCTCCAACACTGGAAGTTTTTAAGAAGAGACTGGACAGCCATTTGTCTGAAATGGTATAGGGTTTCCTGCCTGAGCAGGGGGTTGGATTAGATGACCTCCAAGGTCCCTTCCAACTTTATCATTATTATTATTATTATTATTGTTGTTGTTGTTGTTGTTGTTGTTGTTGTTATTCTATGGCAAAGCTAATCAAGGTTTTTTATCCATAGTTTGCTGAACAAACTATAAATAACTTTTAACAAAATATACTAAACCATAGTTTGTAAGCCAGGACAGCTGGTTTTTATAGCACCTTAATTCTTGGCTAGCTACTGTTTACTACTGGACTAACCCAATTGGTTAGATTTATACAATGTACTGGCAATGTTCATAGAATGGGCTTAGCTATAGTTAATTGAACCATGTCCCAAACGTGCTTTTTCAAAAGGCAACTGGGCTTCCTTCCTTTTTTTCTTGAAGGATGTTTCGCTTCTCACCCAAGAAGCTTCTTCAGAACTGACCTAAAGGATTCCCTCGGCATTCTTTAGATCGTGCCAAATAACTGAAAAGCATCCACGGACGTTCCGCAAAAATAATGACGTTTAATTTATGCAAAAGTCATAGGTCCTCTGTCTTCCTTTCCACGAAAAAGGTAACCGGAGTACCGCAGGCTTATCGGTGAAGCGGTCAAGATTGGAAGACCAGTTCGGAGGGAGTTGGAGGCGACGTAGAGGAAACGTACAAGCACCGAAAACCGTGCCAACCGAAGTATGACGAAGGAAAGGAAGGCAGGATACCAAATGAAAAAAACGACAGAGTCTGGAAGTCTTGAGAGAGCTGACCGACATCAGCTCAGCTGTCTTGACACAAGCCACAATTTTATACTGTGTCATGATGCTGCCATGCCTAATAATTATACAATTTGCATCATTTGGGTGACAACGTCTCGGTGAATATGAGAACACCGGGTCCCAGTAGAGTCACTCGGTGGCCAGGTTTACTAAACTGACAAGCTGACAAGATTATCAATATCCCCATTCCCAATTTTTTTACCTCTTTCTTTAGGCATTTCCTCATTGCTCTGTCAATATCATTGCAATGGCCAAAAAACTTCAAGAAGGTATGCTGGAAGGGAGAAGAAAATGAACAATTGATGTTGTTAAAAAGGGGGGGGGGGACAAACCCATCCCAAATAATATTCTAGAATCTCTAGTGTTACTACTTCCTATGCCAACAGTGTATTTTTTTTTAATTAAAGTATTCAGTTATCAAGCAAGGAGAGAAGCAAAGACATTGCAAAATCAACCTCCAGCATTAAATTATTTAAAAAATATGTATTTTTGTATTTTATTTTTCTTCCAAGAAAATAATAGCAGTTGCTAAATTAAAAGGTCAATTGTTTCATCCTATTCTCTACAAAGGTGACATGTTGTTTGATATATGTTGAATTTTCACTTTGGTGCCATTAGTCGGCAAAAGGTTGTTCTTGAGCTGCTAAAATAAAGCCTTCTCTTTCTTACTTTAATATGCCTGTTCTTAACCAGCTTCATGTGGGGTTTTTAGTGGCTTTCCCTTCCATATCCTTCAAGTATTTCATTATAGTATTATTACTATAATTTATTATAGTATTATAGCACGGCGTCTGGCATGCTGGGGTCCATGGGGTTGTGAAGACCTGGACATGACTTAGTAACTGAACAAAATTATAGTATAGTATTATAGTATTACTACTAATAATATCACTACTACTAATTTTATTATAGTATTACTACTACTAACGTTATTAGCCACCTCACTTCAAAAAATGCTGGGCAACTTACAACTTCCAATGCACAATTAAAAACATCACAACCAAGAAAAGCCTGGGCAAAATCAGTCAAAACAAAAATTACAGAGACTCCATTCACCTTCAACATTGCCCTTCAAATCTGAATCTTGGCACACATCTAATAATTAGCAGTATAATCTCCTTTCAATACACCTGTAACTAACTGGAAGGGGCACGTGGAACATGTAAATATGCTGCCTTTAGACTGAGGTGAATTCCTGCTGGAGCTGAAAATGTTTTCTCAGCTGGTACTTTCTCAGGTGATACCGAGCTGGCAATACTCCCGATAAGGTGGAGAAAATATCCAATGCATGACAAACAAATAAATAGACATTGTTCTTTTGGAAGCACACCGGTCATTTTTAAGTCAAACAAAAAGTGACGCTGGTTTTTGTCAGATCTGGAGAGAGTAAAGAACGGCCATTTATTTGCAAGTGGTCAACCTTGCAACGTACAGGGAAAATGTGATTCCTCTTCTATCGAAATATACTGTAGCTGATAAAGATGTTTAACCCAGGATCTACAACTGACCAAATAATTCCAGAGACTCAGGAAGGATTTGGGGGGATATTGCCTATCCACCCTCCAGTCAAAAGACCTTTGACAAAAGAGCCATTTTTCGCCAATACAATACAGGAATTTGCTTTTTAAAAAAGAATCTCCATGAGAATTTGGGAGTTCCTGAAGTATGTTTGACTCCTTTGTTTGGTTCAGAAGACAGAAGTCATTGAAAAGACAGGAAGCGGTTGGCCGTTCTATTGCCTTCAGTCTGGATAGGCTAACATTTGTGCATGCATTATCACAATGGAACACACAATTCGTGGAAACAGAGGTTTTCTTCCGTAAAAGCCTAAGCAAAGCGTTCCTGTTGAGAATGGGAAGCATACAGAGGATAAAAGACTATTTACAAAGGGGAGGATGAAGAAAGGGTAGCTTATTCCTCTCTTCTCCTTGGACCCTTCAAAAAATATTTTCACAAGTGCTGTGGGAGGTAAATTACATTTAATATTTCAAGCATACTATCGTTTCCCCCCCAGTTCTGGACATATCTCAGGATAGTGGAATGCGACGAGCTTTGCTGGACCAGCCATTCCTAAAACTGATCCCAAACATGGTTGGGGGAAAAAAATGGCCTTTAGTTCTTCTAACACTGGATCACTGTCAGTGGTGTACTGGAAGAATTCCTACAGCAACCTAATTTATTTTTGAGGCTGGATCTGTCTTTCCAACCCATGAAACAAAGGACTCTTAAGACTCTAAGCTCCGTTGAGGTAAGAACAGAATCAAAGCTTCAAGGACTTCACAAGGGTATCTCACCTCATGTGACTTCCCGCTACAGATCTGGGATAAATTTTGTTTATAAGCATAATAAAAGGTCACGTTGTTAAAGCGATAAAGAAGTTGTAGCAGGGGAAGCTCTATTTGTAATTGATCGGTACAAAGGAAGCAAATCTCTTTTTAGTCACAGACATTCACAGACATTCAAAGAGCCAAGGTTGCCTACCCCTGACCTAGGCATCCTGGTGTGTAACAAAGGCAACAAAAACCAAGCTTTGTTGTAAAGACATTCCTAGCAACCTTCTGTGTGCTCTTGAGGCAGCAAGGAACAGGCAGAACTTTCTAGAAAAAGTTAGCTATCATGTGGTACTACCAGCAAATGTCAATCTTGTCTAAGAACAGGATCACAAGATAAGCCTCTGATCTGTGGAGATGCAGCAGCATTCTGGATCCTTTCAGAGTCTTACCTCCTTGTGGCACTTTTGAAGTTGACGGATGATAACGTTACACTCTTCAGTGTGTAGATGAGGTGACAAGTTCGGATGCATCACGAGTTAGGAACCACTCATCCCAAAGGGAAAAAAAAACATAGGGTCTTCCTCCTGTCAATATTTGATATAAATCATGCTGAATGTCATGCCATCTTGTTCCGAGCACATTTGTTGAGGAACGGCAATATTATTGGAACCGAGACATGGCCGTAAAGCATTTCCACGTGCAGGTGACTCAGCAGCATGTTCTACCAGCTTCCTACCATATGAAGGATACTCCTCCGTCTATTCCAGGGGTAGTCAACCGTGGGTCTTTTATGACTCGTGGACTTCAATTCCCAGAATTCCTGAGCCAGCTTAGCTGGCTCAGGAATTCTGGGAGTTGAAGTCCACGAGTCATAAAAGAGCCAAGGTTGACTACCCCTGGTCTATTCCAAAGCAGTGGAAGAACTGGCCTGTGGTCATTCAGGAAATACAGACAGGTTTTCAAATGGGGTTGATTTAAAGGGCGACCTGATCCAGCCAACCTTCTGGAAGGTCTTAGAAAATTGCTGAAACAACAGCTCTTCCTGGATAAGTTCCAGCCAGCATTAACCACTACAGTATAGTATGACAGGACCTGTCCAGTGTCCTGATATTTTTCTTTTAAAGACCACCTAAAACGAAGCCCTGCCCTTCCAGTAAGTTTTGCTATTGTAGACTGTGTCCCTTGAGATAGTTGAACTACCTGGTACAGGATACAGCTACAAAAATCCCATAGAATAAAGTTGAGGGCCAGATTTGCTTGTAATCTTACAAGCTTAGGAGAGTCCATAAAGTAAAGACTGCAAGTTTAGCTTGATAGACATGATAGTACTCTTCCGATATTTAAAGGGCTACCACAAAGAAGAGGGGGTCAACCTGTTCTCCAAAGCACCCGAAGACAGGACAAGTAGCAGAGAATGGAAACATATCAAGGAGAAATCCAACCCAGAACTAAGGAGAAATTCCCTGATAGTGAGAACAATTAACCAGTGGAACGACTTGCCTCCAGAAGTAGTAGTAGTAGTAGTAGTAGTAGTAGTAGTAGTAGTAGTAGTAGTAGTAATGGTGGTGGTAGTAGTAGTAGTAGGAAGTAGTAGTAGTAGTAGTAGTAGTAGTAGTAGTTGGAAGGGACCTTGGAGTTCATCTAGTCCAACCCCCTGCTCAGGCAGGAAACCCTATACCATTACAGACCAACAGCTGTCCAGTCTCTTCTTAAAAACTTCCCGTGTTGGAACATTCACAGCTTCTGGAGGCAGGTTGTTCCACTGATTGATTGCTCTAACTGTCAGGAAGTTTCTCCTTAGTTCTAGGTTGCTTCTCTCCTTGATGAGTTTCCATCCGTTGCTTCTTGTGGATGCTCAATCACTGGAGGTTTTTAAAAAGAGATTCAACAACCATTTGTCTGAAATGGCATAGGATCTCTTGTTTGAGCAGGGAGTTGGACTAGAAGACCTGCAAGCTCCCTTCCAGCTCTGTTATTCTGTTATTGTTATTGAGCTTACATAACGAAGTTGTAAGGCTATTACTATGCGGAAAGTGATAAGGAGAAATTCCATTTCTTAAATGGCTCTAGTATGTCTGCAAGATCGGCACAACTTTGATGAGCAACTTCGATTAAATGATTTACTGGAAAACAAATGGTTGTGTGGGCTTGTTCCTTGTTAATGGATTGCAGGATTAGTAGATAGGTTAGTCAAACTCATAAATAACTCAAAGCTAAACTTAGAGCTTTCCTTATTATTTGATTCAAGGGTAGCTGAACCTACATGGAAATTGACTTTTCTTCTGCTTTCTAAAAAAAAACAAACCAGGAAGCAAATACAGCCTGGGCTTCTTGTCTCTGCCTCTAATTGGAGAGTAGAAAACCTGTTTGTTTTGGTGAACCTGTCTGGAGTTTGGAAAGCATGTCATAGAAGCTGTTATAAAATAGGTGCCATCACGGAGATAAATCAGGTCACAAACAGGCATGAAACAAGTGGTATTGTTCCCTTTCATCTTTTCTAATTTCTTAATGGAGATGTTATCCCAGCACAGATCTTCCTCTCTCCCTCTCCCTCTCTCTCTCCCTCTCTCTCCCTCTCCCTCTCTCCCTCCCTCTCCCTCTCTCTCCCTCCCTCTCTCTCTCTCTCTCTCTGTGTGACTGTAACCTCTGTCTGCAATGTACTTGACAACAGGTTCCAATGGCATTTTTTTTAAAAAAATGGCAGCTGGATGCAACCCAGAGCTTTCATTTACAAATGGACCCCTTGCCTGAAATAGAAAGCAAATCTTAGCTGGGATAATAGCATCCTGGATTGGGAGGGATAGAAGCAGAGAACCGAGCTTTACTCCTAGTGATGACATAAATATAACTGCATTCAATTTCCTTGCCAACTGTAAGGAAGAGGATTGCCATTGGATTCTTCTGATTTATTTATTTTTTACTTCCAGTCTAGCCTGCAGACTTGAAATTATCTGATAATCTCCCATCCAACTACAAACCATGCCCAATTCTGCTTAGCTTTAAAGCTGAAAGGTCCTGCTGTCCATTAAGGGCATTTCCCAACCTGTCTCACATGTCTCTGGATTATGGCTGTTAAAATTGCAGCACCTGCAGAATATCACGTTGGGAGCATTTGAGCTGCTTTTGAGCCAATTGGCAAAGAGTTTTTCCTTCTGCTTTTAGGGCTGAGGAAATCATTTATCCAGTAAAAGGAGTTCTTTGTGAGTAGGAAACAAGCGATAGCCATTCTCTGGGGAGAAAATCATTTCTCTGCTTATTCATTTTTTTCTTATTGTCCTCACACCTGGACTGGACGTTTATTCAATGTGGCTGAGCTGGGCTGTATTCATCATCTCAGTTTACGCCACTAACAAATTAATATATAAATAGCCACAAGGTGGCAAGGCAGCAAGCAGAATAGATTATCCAGTGCCATTTTCTTGTAAGTATTAATATGTACAACTGTGTAAGAATAACAATTCTATTTGAATAAGAGGCTTAAAAAGCCAGTTGTCCTATTTTATACATATATACATTTTTGTCAGGATTATTTGATCCCTAATAAAGTGGTACCATATTAAGAACTTTATGTTCAGTTATAGCACAAGACTATTTATGTGACAAAAATGACATATTCATACAGAATATATGATTCATTCAAGCTTTATTAGTAATAAGCATCTTAGTGGAAAAATGTCTTTCTAATTCACAACTGAGATAAAACACTAATATGATTCAAATGATGCATGAAATCTACTTCTAGATTTGCAGAAAGTAAACAGAACAATGAAAATAGAAAATCACAGTAATAAAGAGTGCTTTTCCTTCCATTTATTTGGTGTTTAACACTACTTCTAGGATTCAATATTTCTCTACAAAGTTGTCTATTAACAATGAAAGTGAAGAAATCTACTCAGTAATTTGAAATCTAAAGCTGCTTTTCTTACGTTGTTTGTTAAGAAGTTAGATAAAATGGCGTTGCCTTAGGAATCTAATTTGCAGAGCCAAACCATCCTATTCCCAAACTATTTAAATGCAGTAGTAATGGCTGTTCACAATACAGGTCCGGCTCTTTCTAAAATCTACCTAAGGACAGCAAGGATCATGTTCAGGATTAGCTATAAGCAAAGCGTGTAGAGGTCTTCGCTTAATGGCCAGGTGCTTAGTGACCCTTCAAAGTTACAACGGACTCCAAAAGGTATCACCCCAATGGTCATTATGTCGCATTTCAGGTTTGGGGCAACTGGTTCTCTTTTACAGCTAATTATACAGTGTTCCATGGTTATGTGATGCGATTCACAACATTCCAACAAAAACCCCACAGAAATGCATTGACTCGCTTAACAACCATGGCATTCTGCCACAAAAAGGTTTTAAAATTGGGTTAGTCACATGGGTGCCTCGACTTATGATCATTATGACTTACAACCTTCATGACTTACACTGGAAATTCTGGACTCCATTACAGTTATTAGTCAAGGACCAACTGTATATGTTATGAAAAACAGTTTTTTCCTTCTGAATAAGAATGAATAGGATCGCATTGCAAATCCGTCCAAATAATAATAATAATAATAATAATAATAATAATAATAATAATAATAATAATAATAAAAGTTGGACGGGACCTTGGAGGTCATCTAGTCCAACCCCCTGCTCAGGCAGGAAACCCTACACCATTTCGGACAAATGGCTGTCCAGTTGATAAATGGCAAGCAAATTTAAAGTTCCTTCAATCCAAGTTTGTTCTCAGTTTAATACCTGTTGCCTGAAAGATGCATCACAGTCTTAATATTACTAAAACAGACGGATATAATGCCTAATGTGCTTTGTTCTGCAATTTCATATACAGTATCTTCAGCTGATTTATGTATATTCCCACCTTTCATTTCAAGGGTGCCTTCTAAAACATGTATTCAAACAGAACAGACGCACACACATCTAATTTAATTGTATAACTTCATTATATAAATATATATATAAAGAAATCATTACTATTTCTCCTCGCCCTCGCATTTACCTCCCACAATTGCATTTACACTTCGGCTCCCCCACCGCTTTTCACCCCTATTTAACAGTTAGTAAAAAAATTACTGAACGCTGAAATGGAAAATTAAAATATCTTACCCAGGAAGTGCATAACCCGGAAGCGAACGTCTCTCCATCCGGAAGTTATTCCCGGAGTCTAGTGAGTCACAGGCCGAGGTTTCTACTCCCCCCCACCCGCCCCAAATCGAGCGCAAGGACCACGGCGGGGGTGGAGACTTCCAGAGCGTGACACAAGCACGAATGTCGCCGCCTTGGGGAGGAGTCGCGTTGTGATTGGCCGATTGGGCGCGGAGGAGGAGGCCGATTGGGCCATTTGAAAGGGAGGGACCAAGTCAGTCCCGAGGCGGCGATTGGGTGAATTCGAATGGATGCGCCAGAGGTTTGGGCGGCAAATGTCCTGAGGAGAACGAAAAAGACCCCAAAATGGCCCAGAAGCGGCGGCTGCGGAACAGCGGCGGGCAGGATCCCCCGTCGAAGTGAGTTGGGCGTGAGCAGCAACGGGAGGGAGGACTGCCACGAACCCCATGTGTGTGTGTGTGTGTGTGTGTGTGTGTTCTCGTCCTCACAACGACCCTGCGAGGTCGGCCTGCGCCGGCACGGAAAAGGAAGCGGCGAGGGCGGGTTGCCTCTTTCTACGTGGGGTGACTTTCTCTCCAGCTGTGGGGGAGAGAGACGTGGAAATGCAGGGGGCAGGACCTGAGTAACCTCATCCGGGCGTGGATGGGAGACCACCAGGAAATCCCAGGCTTGACGGGGATGCTGAACGCTATTCTGAGAGGAGGCCGTGAAAAATAGAATAGAAATAGAATAACGACTTTATCGTCCCTTTGAAAAGGTACATTAATCGGCACACATTAAAATGAAATGTCGTTGCATTCAGCTCTCAAAGGGTCACCACCTCCCATGACCTCCGATATACACTACATAAATATGACAAAAATAAATAAATGCAGAATTGTGCATATACCCACATATATGAGACACAGAAACAACAGTGGAGAATAAGGTGTGCATTTTTGCTAAGAAAACGACCTTATTGGGTGCAAGTAGCCAATAAGGCCTAACTGGAGTCCTTGATTCTATGTAGGTTTGTTTGGAGGAAAGTCTGTAAATGTTGATTCTAGTCCAGTGGTTCTCAACCTGTGGGTCGCGACTCCATTTGGGGTCGATCGACCATTTCACGGGGGTCGCCAAGCAAGGCTGTCCGCCATTTTCCCCCCCTTTTCCGGCGGGTGCCTTACCTCCCTTGGACTGGGCCAGCTGGTGGTCGGCCTGCTCCATCTCTGCCGCTTGCCAGCTACGCCTCGGCCGGCGCAGGGGGCGGAACCACGCATGCGCGGCGCTCCCGGGCAGGGAAAGTCCTCGACGTACGACCGGTTGGGTAGTCCTCGACTTATGACCGGTTTAGTCCTCGACTTACGACCGGTTGGGGTCGCGGCATTAAAAAGGTTGAGAACCACTGTTCTAGTCTCTTTGCCAGCATTCTGGGGATCAGGCGAGGATCAACCAGCCAGATCTGCTAAAATCCAGCATCTGAGTGGAAAGGACTTGCCATCTTTTCCTATAGGTACTTAGAAGTTGCCTCTTTGCAAAGCTACTCCAAGGAATAGCGAAGATAAATTGAAAGAGTGTATTGCCCTCAGGTGCTTGAAGGAAATTATGTTAATAAGAACACTAGTGCACTTTATCCCTAGATGAATAATTCTAAAAGCACTTTACCACTGCAGTGTATCACATCCTGCTAACGAAGTATTGATGTGCTCTGTTTTCTGAAGCAGTTTGATGTAGTCAAAGTGTAGAGGCATCTTTTAGTCTCTTGGATAGGTGAGACCTTTGAATGACTGTACTCTTTGAATATTCCCTATGTAGCAGACAACAGGAAGGTTTTGGAGGATATAATGGGCAAAGAGCTGTGCCAGTAAGTTTAGGAGAAAAATACTATAATTCCTTTTCCAAACCTTAAAAGAAACTTTGTAAAAAAATTAACCCTAAAATTGAAATTGTGCTCACCTTATTATATCAAGAAAACTATTGCCTATCAATATCTTAAAATTACTGTTAAGTTCTACAGTTGCATTCTGTAGTGTAAATAGAAATGTACATTCTGTACTGTGATATTTATAATGGTATAGATGTCTTTTCTTAGTCTTGCTTTTGATACACGTATGTGTCTTCAAGTTGTCTTGTATATCATTTTAGGATGAGATGTCCAGAGTCCTTATTATGAAAGTCCGTACAGCACAAGATTTGCCATTTGTTATGAACTTTTTTTCTATTTTCATTGTCCACTATCTGCGCTGTACTGTGTAGAAGTAAAATGCAATTCTTTTAAGAACAAAATTCTTGTCTTAATTTTGGAGGGTCTTCATTATGGATGAAACAGTAGCTGAATATATTAGAAGAACTGTGCTGCGAATACCACGTTCAGAAACATCAAAAATGCTGACTTCATGGGGGTTTCTGTCCGAGACTCAACTTCAGTCTTTAAAAATTCATCATTTTAAGGAAAACATATCTCAAGCAGTTGTTGAACTTTGTGAGGTAAGAGCAAAGTACAAATGCTTTTATGTCATCTCTTTGAAAAATATATTAATATATATATTATAAGAAAGATTCCCTTTTTATTATTATAAAGATGTAATTATTATCTGGAAAATATAGAATTGCATATGCTTACAGCTGCTCTTAATAAGATTATGTTCATAGGACACTGAATAGCTATCCTCATTTTAGCCTAATATTTCTGCAAAGTCATCTTAAGTTAGTCATTTAGTTTATTCTTTATACATTCAAGGTAGCTTAGAATTAAAAATATATATAATGGTTAAAAACATTTATTGCTGGTGGTTTTTTCTATAAATTATCTCCCATAAAAAATAATAAACTCAACTAAATTCTGAACTGACAGAGTGGATGAAAACAATTTTCCTGAAGTAGACAGGTAATATATAACAATCTTTTGAAGTCCATAAAATAATGTAACGTGGAACCTCATTTTTAAAGACTAATTGCAATGAATGGATTCTTATTGCTTGAAACATAGATTGTGAGCATACATTATTTCAGTGTCATTCACATAATGTCTAATACAATTCTGATTCATTTCACTCAAAAATGTATTAGATTGAGACAAGTTCAGTGACATTCCTCTGTTATATATTTAACTGGTTTAATGTCTTATTCAATATTATTCCAATCTCAATAATATTGTATTAATATAATTGTAATATTGTTCATAACTCTTTGTCTTAAAGGAGAACCAGGCAACTATCAAAGATGCAGCAGAGTTAGATTTAATTTGTAAGTAGAATCTTTTGTTTAAAGAGAGAGAGAAGGGAAGAGTAAACAGACTTTTTTTGTTTAGTCTAAATCAATTATATTATAAACTAAGTTCATTTGATGGGACTGATATATATCTTTTATGTGATACAATTTTAAAAGCAGTTTCACTTTTTTTAAAATACAAGATTATTGTTGTTCTCACTGCACAATATTCCATTGTAAATGTAATGTTTTGGAAGTAGATGGAAGGGACTTCTCCAATCCATTGTTGGTAATTAAATTTATCAAATAAATAATCCCCAAAAATCTAAATTCTTAATAGAAAAAAGAATGATTGTTCTACTTACATCACTTATTTGTTTATTCAGAGATAATACATTGAGGTTTGCTTAGTCCCATATAATAATAGGATTACATGGTATTTGATACTGGCATTTTATATAGTTCATAGTCTGAATCTGAATTTTCAGCTAACTAAGGAGATAGTTCCCTTGGATTTAATTTTGATTTGTAGCTTGTTCACTTTTTCAAAAAACTGCATCATCTCTTGCGACCTGAAAACACATACTTTAATCTTCTGTTGGATTTACAAAACTTATTTATAAGAAAGTATGGACTGTTAATATCTTCTTAGACAACAAGTAAAGAATATAAATTAGCTCCCATTAATGTGAAAATTAGCTAAATGTAAAAAAATAGTAATACTGATATTCCTGAAATTCCTTTTATTGGAAAAGGGCTTTTTCATGATACCCTTGGAGTTTTTATTAAGTTATTATATTATTAAATTAGTAGCCACTCAGTTTGTGATGGGTTGTTTTTTTTTAGACAACTACACCTATCAAGACAAAAAGAGCTGGATTGCTTACCAACTGACTAAAAAAGGTAAGTGCTCACAACTTACCTTTAGTTATTCTAAAAATAATTGACATACTTTGAATATATGTTTTGAATTAATATAGTAGAATTCTTTCCATTATGTTATTTTGAAACCTTTACAGTTAGAACAATAGAGATTTTTTTTCTTAACTGAAATAATCACATTTTCATTAGTATGTTTGATTTGTTAACCTTTTGTATTAATCTTCAGTTAAATTGATATTAAATGACTTAAATGCTAAAAAAATGGAGTGAATATCCTTCATTTACATGTATACCTTCCTTTTAGTGATTTCTGCTGCTCCTGAGAACCAATGTGGTCTCAGGTTTTGGTTTAGAATTAGGAAGACAGATTTCAAATTCATCTTCAGCCAGTCACATACATATAGTCCTCAACTTATGATTACAATTGAGCCCAAGATTTCATTTTTCATACTAAGCGAGACAGTTGTTAAGTGAGTTTTTCCCCATTTTACGACCTTTCTTGCCACAGTTAAGTTAGTAACACGACTG